TGGAATAACTCCCACCCCAAATCGCCTGAATAGAGCGGCATAGTTCGGGTTCAAATGGGATACCGGAGAGTGGAAAATGGAGTCGAAAGCTGGATATTTGAGTTTGAGACACCTGAGGGGCGGTTCAGATACTGCGGATGTCATCAGCCGAGGATGATTAAGGGCGATGACTGTCAAGGGCCATGTATCTCAGTATTGCTTGATTTGGAGAGGTGGCTAATGATGTCAATCATTCCAGAGTGCGATGGGAGGTAGAGTGTATAAAGCAAGGTCCTGGGAAGGAGGAAAGGAGATTCCGTGTGAACTCGTCTCAAGCTGCACAGCTTCGCGCTCACGCTATAATCACATGTCTGAGGCACGTGCACGACGCGTCGCGTCGGTCCGGTTGATGTCTCATATCAAGGCTTGGCTAGCGCGCCATTGGTTTCAAACCACATATTTGGGAGGTTGAACTGAAGTATCGATTGTGCATCGCGTCGCAGCCGCGCCCTGAAGTTCGTAAGGCCTGGTATCTTGGCGAGTAATGTTATGATACACTTTCCATTCCCTTCCTATGGCTTGAACATGGCATCAAATGATCGTGTCGTCGTAATAATGGTGGTCTCATTCTGAATTGGAGCTACTTATATTATTGAAGCGACCCGACTGAAAAGCCCAACTTCCCCGGCACATTTCACCTCTATCCCTGCCTATCATTTCACCGACTTCGATGCATTGAGATCTAAGTGTCCGTCCCTAACCACCATCGTTTCGGCACTTTGATATTCACTCATAATTAGCCCAGGCGAAGGTGAAAGGCACCAAGATCACTCACGCAAACAGAGATAGAATCTCCACCGCAGCTTCCTGAGTTCGGGTCTGGGCGACAAGCATACTGAAGTCCGTTGAACGTATTCTTATACCCTGTGAACCTAATGGGAGGAGGGCTACAAGTGAACGTTCCGGTGGTACAAGGGTTCTCATTGGTGGTGAGGCTGTCGACACTCTTGCAACTAGCATCGTAGACTTGCCCTAGTGAAGTTGTCAGTGTTATCGTGTATGTGAAGTCATGCCAGTGATAGTGGCGAGGAAGAGGCTACGAACAACGTGTGACCCCTCCCCCGAGATCTTGCGCATTCCCGACTCCGTAGTTGAATCCGGGACAGATAGCATTCGATGCTCCAGCAGCAAGAAGAGGGACTAAGAGTCCGAGGGCTTGGATTGTGAGTTTCATGATTTGTGTGTTGTTTGTGTAAAGGTTTATGCCTTAACTTCCCAATCCTGGCCTGATTTTATAGCTCTCAGTCGCACCGAATTGAGAACGTGTAGGGCAAGATGTAACAGGCAAATTAAATTGAGGTGTACCCAGTGCTGAAGCACCAAGAATTTTTCGGCCAATGTTTACTTACCGCACAGCGCTTCAGCGCTAACTCGCTACTGGCGTTCTGGCACGGAGGGCCTGAGGGTTTTGACCGCTGTGGAGTAGCGAGACGCTCACTGTTTCGCCCCCGGTGCGATGTAAGTATTCAGTATACGAACTCAAGGTGCGCCCATATCATTTCAAAAGCGTTTCAGCTCAGCCTTCTGCTTGAGCGAAACGCCAGATAACGATCATCTGAATAACGGGGTTTGGAAGTTTATAGACCGCTGTGGAGCAAGTGGAGACTTTGGCCGTTTTTTTCCAGATTCCACCCTTCCAGCGCGCATTCCTTCAACAATCCAAGAGTTCCAAGTACAACGTGCTAGATACTGCCGAACATTCATCCGACCTACCGTCACCCAAGGTTCTAGCAAATTGACTCGTGCTCCCTGAATCTCTGTCAATCAAAGATGCCCCAAGGCTTCATGGACGGAAACCAGAACGTGTCAATCATATATGAGTCTGAAGACTACGAATACCCTGTGCCACTGGCGCTACCAGAGGTATATAGGATTATCTTCCCTTATTGTACTCATATCCGGATAATTCGCCTCCACCCATTCTCGCCACTCATATACCGACCAGTGTGATATCGAATCGTCTAAGCCTGAAACCCGTCTTGCTTCGGACCGCTCGTAGCCTGACCCAGATGAGAACCACCACCACCTCGAAGTCTCCCTACGAGGAACGTAGTTAACAGTGCCTGAATTCATCAACCACAACCTCTAGTGCGTAGTCCCTCGAGTATCCAGATATTGGATGCCAGTATGTGATGGAGACCAATGGCAGTGAACTGTAGTGCTCCTGGATATTAGGCCTTGACGTACTGTTTTTGCGACGTTCGATATTCCGATTCTCACCCTGAGTCTCGAGTATCGGTGATCGTGTCTTGTCCCACAATAAATTAGCAAGTCAATGACCATCAGGCCAGGCCCTGGAGGCAAAAAGGTCTGTATATCGGACCCATGAAGCTGTGGGGTGTAGTAGGTCCAACTGTGGCTCGCCACAAAAAAAATGTGGGAATTGCCACCATATCATACCAACTGAGTCTCGAGTGATAAAGTAACCCAGTTGTATCAAGACGACGGTAACGTTCATACTTACCTGAAGCTCTATGGCCGGTACATGTGAACAGTGGCAACCAGAAGTGAAACTCGCTCAGTCGGGAAGCAAAGAAAAGTAAGCCCGAGCGAGCACTTTATCTATAGATCCAATTGGTAGCCCCCCCTCCCGCCAGGACGATGGTTTATTGAGCAATCTGTGTCATGAGGTTTCGAACAGTCAACAGGTAGCTATTCGATAAAACAATGAGTCCTTGAGGCTTGAGTGGAGTTGGACGGAAGATGCCAGACCGCTCGAGATGGAGGTTACAGGTAACGGAGTTTGAATTGAAGGTCCCAAAAACTTCCTCGGTGTGTGAACTTTGAAAAAATTCCTAACCCCCCTCTCAAAACTCAAACTCAAACTCGCATTTTAGGAAAAATTGGCCAACGTGGGGATCGAACCCAAGACCTTCGCGTTAATTCACCGAAAACTGGGGGGATATTAGCACGACGCTCTAACCAACTGAGCTAGTCGGCCATACCCACAATACCTACCCGTCGAGACAAGTCACTGGTCACATCCGAAGAGAGAGAGAGATGAGAAACTGATCAATTGATTCGTAGAGTCGTAAAGTACAAAGATCTCGTGTAACGTAAAAACGAAGAAATCAATCGAGTTGGTAGCGGTAATGTAAAGGGTAAGAGGCGGTAAACTATATTACAACAACAAGTTGAAGGAAAGAAAGAAGCAAGAAAGAAAAGAAGAACGAGTCGAGAAGAGACATCCACCCAACAATCCAAAGTCCAGGGCTCTTAGCAAGAAACTCTACGCCTTCGCCTGCGTATTCAACCTCAAATCAAACACCTCACTCTTCCACGTCTCACTCCCAGGTGCATGACTCGTCCCCGCAAGCGCAGCCTTCTCCCTATCCCCCTTATCCTCCACCCCCGCACCAGGCTGAGACGTCGAGGCCCTGCCAATAAGCTTCTCCCTCTCCCCGACTCTCGAAACCCATCCACCCGAGTGCCCGACCTCTCCAAGGATCGAGTTGCGTTTGTTAGCGACGACTTTGAACTGGGAAGTTCCACCGGCGGATTGAACGGATACAGCGTCTTTGGATTGCGCAGAGATGGAAGGGGTGCGTTTGAATGCGTCCTGTAAAGCTTGTAACCTCCCGACAGCTTCCTCTCCCTCACCAGCCTCAGCAGCTCGTTGAGCCTCGTCCATCCTTTGCTTAACAGCGATCAACTCCTCCGAGATGAACTCGAACCCGCTCCGGATTCCGCTCTCAACGGCTTTCTGCACCTGCCGCTTGACGAGACCCATCATGAGGGGTTTGAGGGTCTTGTAAAGAACATCGTGTTTCGAATCGCGGATGGAGACTTTGAGGGAACCTTCGATCTTGACAGCGACTTTCTTGATGTCGAACAGCCTACAACGCGAGTTAGCCTGGAACACGAGGGCAAGAGAAAGAAATGCGTGACATACCTAGCCTCATCCCTCGAATCCCCCAACTCAACATCAACACTCATCCCCTCCCCTCCCAACACCAAATCCGCAACCCCCGAATCCTTAATCTTGATCGCCCCCCCTTTCTTATTAAAGTAGAACAACACGTCCCTCATATCAGCTTGGATCTGAGTCATGTGCATATGGAACTTGTGGTGCGAGTTCGGTGGGCGCTTCGAATTCTTGGTCGTAGTATTGTGAGGATCCTTGGGGTTGTTGAGCTTGTCGAAGGTCTCCCAGCGGAGCCAGTTGTGCATTTCGACTTCGACGACGTTGGGGAAGAGGTTTCGGCCAGAGAGGGTGAGGTTTTCGACGACGAGGTCGAAGGTTTCGTCGGTGTATTCGATACGGGGGATGGGGATGTAGCCGACCTGTGCGTGGGGTCAGCGGGTGAACGATAGGAGGGAAAAGGGAAATGTTACCTCGTCGATCAAGGAGGGTAAGATAACCCCTCGGACGTCGTTCCAAAGGTCGCTCTTGAACTTGAGATGATCGTTCTCAAACAACAAATCCTTCGTCAGACGCTGAATATCCGTTCCGAGCCTACGGATCAAAATGTCAGCAATCCGCACACACCCACCATCGCATCGCAGACCGGGCGTAGCTCACCTCTTGTTCGTCCTATCCTCCGCAACCCCACCAACAAACTCCCTAGCCCCATCAAACACCCTATCCAAATGCTCCCTATACTTCCCCCTCTCCCTAGCCTCCGTCTCCCCACCCTTCAAATCACTCCTCACCTCCCCACCAAAGAAAATCTTCCCCGTATCCTCCAACTTCCTCCCCTCAGCTTCACACTGCGGTTCAGTCACATACCCCGGCTCCCTAACACATCTCTCCATATAAACACCGACTTCTTTCCACCACGTCTCCAACTCGGGATCTCGCTTCGCATCGTCAATGAGCGCGTTGATGGGATCGAGGATGAGGTTATTGAAGCTCTTGTTCGAAGCGAACCGTTCGAGGATGACTTTGAGTTGATGCAAAGAGGAGTTCAACGAGGAGGGGGCGTTGGATTTGGAGTTGTCGAGTTGGGTTTGGGAGAAGGAGCGTCCGTGGGTGGCGTATTCTTTGATGAAGGAGATGAGCCATTCGAGGGATTCTTGGTATTCGGGGTGTTTTTGGCATTCGATGATGACCTAAACAAAGTTGATCGTTAGATAAAGGGACGTGTATAATGAAAGGGAGGGGAGAACGATACCTTCTTGCCACGCCAGATCCACTGATCTCTCCTCGATTCGGGGAAGTATTCTTCGGTGATGAACTCTTTACCACGAGAGTAATGAGCCTTGGCCTTGTCCTGGTGTTCGCCGGGGATCGTGTCCTGCAACGTCATCAGAACGTCAACAATGTACTCAGCCAACCGATGGCGAGAAGAACGTACCTTGACACCGCCGGTGATCCTTTCCATGAAACCCTTCTTCTTCGTCGGCGACGTAACCTCATTCGCCGCAGCCTCAGGTCCATCAGCCTCCGCACGAGCTTGAGCGGTATTGATCTCGTCGAGGGCAGCGTTTGCAGCTACAACGCCAAAAGTCAGCTCAAGGAGAAAGGAACAGCAAAAAACAAACTGACCCTCTTCCTTCTTCTGATCCTTAGTCTGCTTCGCAGCCTCAATCTTCTCCTTCGCCTCCTCCTTCCTCCTCTTCAACTCTTCCTTATCTACAAACTCCTGACTCCCACGATGAGGCTCATCAACTCCCCGGAGCCTCTCTTCGTTCGGTGCGACACCTTCCGCGGCCTACGAGCGCAATTAGTCACACATTCAACCCAACGAAAGATAGAAAGAAGCGGCACGGACCTTAACCAGCGTCTTACTCAACAAATCCCTCCCAACCAATCCAAAGTCCGAAACGAGCTTCCTCGCCTCCGAATTCGTCAAAAGCAGGGTCAACAACGTCCTCAAATGCTTGATCGCGACTTGTCCGTCCTCCTTTGCCTTTTCCTGCGTAACAGGGGCCTTGGCGTCTTTCGTCGTCGCTTCTGCTGATGCAGTCACGTCGTCGCCTACAGCACCCACACGCGTCAGCATACACGAACAAGAAGGAAGGAAGGAAAGAGAACGTACCCAACGCCCTCGTCCCCCACACAAACTCCTGAATAATCTCATCTCTATTCTTCTCCTTCACCATACTCCTCAACGTCTCGAGAATATCCTGAACATCGCGTACGAGCTTTTGCCCTTCCTTGCTGAGTTGACTGGTCTTGGGATCGGAGGAGGAGTCTTGGAGACCTTTCCAGTAGGAGAGGTAGGCGTCGAGTTGGGCGTTGGTGGGGAGTTTGGAGGAGCGGAGGGCGAGGAGGGCGGTGTAGAGGGTTAGCTAGAGGGGTGGGGGAGGGGGGTCAGCATGGGAATTGGAGAAGAAAGAAGGTAGGGAGGGAAGAGAAGCGAGTATCGCGCGAAGTTCGGGTGGAATAAGAAAAAGAAGTCGTCTGACATCACAAACGATATGTGGGGAAAATGGGAATGGGGAGAACGCAACAGCCGTGCAGAAGGCAGAAAAGGATAGACTTTTGGATGAATGGGTGTGAACATCGTTGGTAGTTGGTACGAAACCGATGACGCCAACGAGAGCAGAAAAATCCCATCTCCCCCAATCGACGAAGGCAACCCAGAGCGATACGAATCGGAGAGGAAAGCCAGCTCACCTTCCTATCAACATCCCTATCCTTCGCATCCTTATCCACAGGATCAATCACAGCTCCCTTGGCTGGGTGAGTAGACGTATCCTTCGGTGCAGGTGGTAGAGACATCCTTAATCTTCTTCTTCTGCGTTAGTCTTTCGTTAGTCGTTCGTTGGTGGTGAGGGTTCGAAAGCAAGAACCCAAAGTGGGGTGGTAGGTGGTAAGAAAATCGAGGGTGAGGGCGATAAATTTAGGGAACACTCATCACTCGACCTTCGCACCCTTTATACAAGAGAAATCGAACCTACCCCCCAAAAAAACCTCCTGAACCCAGAACCCAGATGTGCGCGTCATACCTGCGTCACCAATCTAGTTGCGATCGTACGTGAGACCCTTAGTTTAACCACAAGAAGGCAGGAATGATTCGATTCATGACAAACTGGTGACTGGACAGTGACAGGCCGCATGTTCGTGGTGAGGCCCCGTTCCATCGATAGGGAGGAAGAGAGGGAAGGAAGCGTACTGGGGCAAAGGGCAAAAGATTTCACAACCAACCATAGGGTTAGGGGCAACGAACGGATTTTGCCAGGATTTCCGGATTTTGTTGAGTCTCAGTTCTGTCGTAACGGTCTTCATCTTCAATGACGTCATACCCAGAACCCTTATGTCGCCGTTCTCGTCTGTGGCGTCGATTCCGTTCATGACAGAAAAAGGGTATGCATCCAGGTGGGTCCGATTCCGTGCTCAACAACACGCAACACGTTGACAAGAAGCGAGCGATAACGATGGTCGATGCCCGGCTCCCCCGATGACTGGCTCCCGATGCGTTAGCGGGAAGAAATCAATGATCACGGTTGTGGCGTGCTTCTGGGCAGTGGGGACGTCCGACGATCAGCAAGGCTTCTGGACAGGTACAATGAAATATGATGTGCACCAGAAAGAACTATATGTATGGGTTGGGTTGGTAGGTCCGCAGTATGGATGGTAGCGGTGTGGTCGATCAGTAACCTTTCAATAGGTATAAATCTGGTACTACTGGTAATTAGCTGCAACGTTCGTCCATACTACATGTAATATAACATGAATTTAGTCCCGATCAAACAAACGAATCCGAACTAGAGACGCAGCCCGGAGCCGTGGCAAGTAGAACCAACATACCTATCGTAACGTGCATGGTTTGGTTTTGACAGGTTCAATCTTCGGTTCCCCAAAACTTGTGACGATGACGCTTATATGATATATGATATCGAGCTCCCGCTCCCGGTGGGCTAAGAATCCTAATCCCAATTAGGGGTGGCGTCATAGTTGGACCTTGTGGGTCCATTCTATGGTGACGATTAACAAGATACAAAACCCCTCTTATAATCAACCGCACTCCTTCGAAAAATCATGTTTTATGGCGT